CATCTAAGTCACAACAATAGAAGAACACAGTCTGCTGAACATAATACTACACAAACATTAGATGTTGCCATGGTTTAATTGCACATAACATGTAAACATTCACAGTGCAGGGAGGAAAAAGTATGTGAGGCCCTAGCATAATGACTTCTCCCAGAGCTAATTGGAGCCAGGAGTGAGCCAACCTTGACTCCAATCAGTGTGATGATATTGGATGTGTTGCTGACAGCTGTCCTGCCCTTAAGAAACACACACCTGTTTTGGGTTTACTGGTTTCAAGAAGCACTGTCTGATGTGAACCATGCCTCGCAGAAAAGAGCTCTCAGAAGACCTACGATCAAGAATTGTTGACTTGCATGAAGCTGGAAAGGGTTACAAAAGTATCTCCAAAAGCCTTGATGTTCATGTGTCCACGGTAAGACAGACTGTCTACAAATGGAGAAAGTTTAGCACTGTTGCTACTCTCCCTAGGCGCGGTAGTCCTGTAAAAATGACTGCAAGAGCACAGCGCAGAATGCTGCATGAGGTAAAGAAGAATCCCAGAGTGTCAGCTAAAGACCTACAGAAATCTCTGGCACATGCTAACATTTTTGTTGACACATCTACAATAAGGAAAACATTAAACAAGAATGGAGTACATGGGAGGACACCACGGAGGAAGCCATTGCTGTCCAAAAGAATATTGCAGCACGTTTGAACTTTGCAAAAGAGCACCTGGATGTTCCACAGCACTACTGGCAAAATATACTGTGGACAGATGAAATCAAGATTGAGTTGTTTGGGAAGAACACACAACACTATGTGTGGAGAAAAAAAGGCACAGCACACCAACATCAAAACCTCATCCCCACTGTAAAACATGGCGGAGGGAGCATCATGGTTTGGGGCTGCTTTGCTGCCTCAGGGTCTGGACGGATTGTTGTCATTGATGGGAAAATGAATTTCAGAGTTTATGAAGACATTTTGCAGGAAAACGTACGACCATCTGTCCGCCAACTGAAGCTCCGCAGAGGATGGGTGATGCAACAGGACAATGACCCAAAGCATACAAGTAATTCAACAAAACAATGGCTGCAACAGCACAGAATACGCCTTCTGGAGTGGCCCAGTCAGAGTCCTGACCTCAACTCGATTGAAATGCTGTGGCATGACCTTAAGAGAGCGATTCACACCAGACATCCCAAGAATATTGCTACACTGAAACAGTTTTGTGAAGAGGTATGGTCCAAAATGACTCCAGATCGTTGTGCAGGTCTGATCTGCAACTACAGGAAACATTTGGTTGAGGTTATTGCTGCCAAAGGAGGGTCAACCAGTTATTAAGTCCAAAGGTTCACATACTTTTTCCTCCCTGCACTGTGAATGTTTACATGTTATGTGCAATTAAACCATGGCAACATCTAATGTTTGTGTAGTATTATGTTCAGCAGACTGTGTTCTTCTATTGTGACTTAGATGACGTTCAGAGCACATTTTATGCCCAATTCATGCAAAACTCCACATAATCCCAAGGGGTTCACATACTTTTTCTTGCAACTGTACTCCTTCCAGACATGCTAATTCTATATTCTGTACCCTACCCTGGGAGTACCCCCCTGGGAATTACCCTCTAGATTTGTTGGAAACCAGGCGAACATTTGCTTTGCTGAAGGCCCCACACAACACTCATTGCCCTTCCACCAGAGCAGAACCCAATTTTAACACCAGATTCTTCATTCAACTCTAGTTCCATCTCAGGCACACTACAAATGGCCTACCAGACAAAAGTAGATTTTTCTGCAACTATGTCACCATTTCTCATACAACTAAGGGCTTTAACAACTTTCTCCCTGACTCCTGTTCTACACGATGCCTGTTATCGACCTGGATTTCTCTGGTTTGGACTCTGCTCTGTACTTCTGTACTATCCTTTGCTGACCTCGGCTTCATCTTCTGGCTCCTGATTTGGTACTTTGGTGCCTGCTCATTGATAAGCTTGCTTGATCTTGACTACACTTTTGCCTCTGATTCTGCTCTGCACCATTGTCGAGTGTCTACTTACCTTACATGCTGATGCAGCTAACAGCTTCTATGCATAGTCTTGCTACACACCTTCTGAATCAACCATGAGCTATACCATCTTGAACTCTCACACAAGCCAGAGGTGGCTGAAGCCCACTGTTGGCTGACGTCACTCAGCCGGTCCAGGCTGGAGAAAGATCCTGACTTTAAAGTTGGTATCCATCCCAGAGTCTGGAGCAGCACCTGTCTCAGCCTGTCAACGATCTGCTGAGAGCCTGAGCCAGCCTCTTCCTCCCCCTCCACAGCCCAGCACTCCAGTAAGCACTGAGGGCAGTGACTGATAGTCAGCGTTCTCTACTCACAGCAATGATGAGAACTCAGCGATCTCACAATTCTCACACTTAGAGCTGGCGGGGGACAGATGCAGCATCAGACCATTGCTGTATCCACCTAAGTATGTATAATTTGGGGGAAAAAAAACGAATTTCTCTTTTAACCATTTGACGCCCGGCCAATAGCTGCATTGCATCCGGAAAAATGCACTAGCTTTTCGGGAGGCCACCATTTGGCATACTCCCGCACATGCGCAGTTCGCTCGTTTGAAGAGCCACGCAGTGGTGCGATCTGTCGCCGACCGTGTACCTCGGACACGGCCGATGACAGATCTGAGTATCGGCCCCGTTGCCGGTACCATGTGACCTGCTGTGACCAATCACAGCAGGTCACATGACAGTTGTATACAATGGATGGCTTCATTCATGCCATCCATTGTATACTAGTGTCTAGCTGTGAATGGTCACAGCTAATCACATGCACATGTCATGTGATTAGCTGTAGCCAAATCACAGCTAAGCGCAAAAAAAAAGGAAAAAAAAAAAAAACCCTGAATGAATCGATGTCATGCTTGCTTATAGCAAAGCAATTCTTTGCTATAAGCATATTGTGTAAAAAAAAAAAAAAATACTGATCACTTCCCCAAAGTAGTACAATGTTACTATGGTAACATTGTACTACTTTGGACATAGTGAAATATAAGGAAAAATCTTAAAAAAAAGAAAAAAAAATGTAATAAAAAATTTAAAATAATAAAAAAAATAAAAAAAAAATTTTTTTTTTTTTTCACACTGTCACCAGTCAGTGTCCCTGATCACCACCATGCCAGTTATATGATGACACTGTACTGCACTGGTGACGGTATGTAAAAAAAAATAGTGAAAATAATCTTTTTTATTTTTTCATTTTCCGAAAAATTCTGACAAAAAAATACAACTTCAAAAAACACGCCATGCCTCTTATAAAGTACGTCGGACTGTCTACTCTGCAAAAAGGGGTCATTTGGGGGACATCTGTACTATTCTGACATTCTTGGACCTCAAGAAATTAGATTGGCTGTCAGTACTTCAGGATTGATCAATATTCAGATCTATACCATAGTTTGTGAACTCTATAACTTTCCTACAAACTAAAAAATACATCCTAATTTGGGTTATTTTCACCAAAGACATGTAGCAGAATACATCTCGGCCTAAATTTATGAAGAACAATTATTTATTTGCAAACTTTTATAACAGAAACAAAGAAAAAGGTGTTTTTTTTTTCAACATTTTCTGTCTTTTTTTGTTAATTTAGCAAAAAATAAAAATCCCAGCGATGATTAAATACCACCAAAAGAAAGCTCTAGTTGTGTGAAGAAAATGATAAAATGTTAGTTTGGGTACAGTGTTGTATGACCGCGCAATTGTCATACAAAGTGTGAGAGCGCTGAAACCTGAAAACTGGCCTGGGCAGGAAGGTGTAAAATTGCCCAGTATTGAATTGGTTAAGAGCGGGAGGACTTCTGTTACAGTTTGCCTCTCTCTTAGGCACAGACATTCCAGACCTGTGGATTCAATCGATGGTAGTTCACAACTCTACCCTCTCACCATTTTCATCAAATCAATCAAAATCTACCCAAGGACAATCAAATTTGCAGAATGCCCTGAACTATCTCTTGTCCCAGGGAGTAGTTGTGCCAGTACCCACACAAGACAAGTTCCGAAGTCTTCTATTCAAACTTGTTTACAGTACCAAAGCCCAGTGGGAGTATGGATCCTATTCAGGATCTAAAATCTGAAACAAATACCTTCAAATTCCAAAATTTCACATGGAATCTGCAAGTTTGGTTATTTCGTCTCTGAAACAAGGGGAATACTGCCATCCAAAATGTCTATCTGCATATTCCCATTTATTTGCCTCATCAGTGTTTTCTGTACCTGCAGCCTAAGCAGGGCTGGTGCTAGATTTTTTTTGCACCCTAGGCAAGACCAGTTACTTGCACCCCCCTCAAAAAAAATAAACTTTACCTGTAGTTTTACTTCACCCCCTCCTAGCACACATCCTCTTCCCCCTCACATTTTCTACCCCAGCATAAATCATCTCCCCCAGTCCCCCCTCCTAGCAGAAATCCCCACAATCCCCCCTCCTAGCACAAATCCCCCTAAATCCCTCCTCCTTGGACAACCCCCTTCAAATTACCTTTCCTAGCACAAATCCTTCCTCCTCACCCAAATCCCCCCCTTTCTAGCACAACCCCTCCCAATCCCCCCTCCTAGCACAATTTTCCCCCTTCTAACACGAACCCCCCATTTCCCCTCTCCTACAGGGACAGATCTAGGAGGGTGCTGGGGTGGGCTGCCCCCCCCCCCAGATTTTACTTGTTCCCCCCTCAGATCTCTGAGAGTGCATCCACTTATCCTTGAGCCAGTCTGATGCAGAAGGTTGATGTAAAGGGGGCACTCTGATCGGGGAAATCCATGTAAAGGGGCACTCTGATGAGGATACCTGATATAAGGGGGCACACTGATATGGACACCTGATGTAAGGAGGCACTCTGATGGGGACAGCTGATGTAAGGGGGTACTCTAATGGGGACACTTGATATAAGGGGCACTCTGATGGGGACAGCTGATGTAAGGGGGCACTCTGATAGGGACAGCTGTTGTAAGGGGGCACTCTGATGGGACGCCTGATATAAGGGAGCACTCTGATACTTTGATGGGGACAGCTGATGTAAGGGGGCACCCTGATAGGGACATCTGATGTAAGGGGGTACTCTGATGGGGACACCTGATGTAAGGGGGCACTCTGATGGGGACACCTGAGGTAAGGGGGCACTCTGATGGGGACACCTGATGTATAACATTTATAGGTAATGCTGATCCAGGGCATATCCAATCGCCTCGGGGGATCAGGAAGGAATATTTTTCCCTGCAGGAGCAAATTGGATCATGCTTTGCTGGGTTCTTTTTCCATCCTCTCGATCAACTGTGGGTATAGGATTATACATTTTTTTTTTTTTTAATGGTTGAACTGGATGAACTTTTGTCTTTTTTCAACCAGACTATGTAACTATGTAACTGTGGGGACACCTGCTATAAGGGGCACCCTGATGAGGACAACTAATGTAAGGGGCACTCTGAATGGGGACACCTGCTATAAGGGGCACCCTGATGAGGACAACTAATGTAAGGGGCACTCTGAATGGGGATACTTGATGTATGGGGACACCTGATGGGGACAGCTGCTATAAGGGGGCACTCTGATGGGGACACCTGATGTAAGGGGGCACTCGGATGGGAATGCCTGATGTAAGGGGGCACTCGGATGGGGACACCTGATGTAAGGGGGCATTCTGATGGGGACATCTGATGTAAGGGGGCACACTAATGGGGATGCTTTATGCAAGGGGCACTCTGATGAGGACACCTGATGTAAGGGGGAACTCTGATGGGGACAGCTGATATAAGGGGGCACTCTGATGGGCACATTTGATGCAAGAGGGCACTCGGATGGGGACACATGATGAAAAGGGGCACTCTGATGGGGACACCTGATGTAAGGGGGCATTCTGATGGGGATATTTTATGTAAGGGGGACTCTGATGGGGACACCTGATGTAAGGAGGCACTCTGATGGGGATAGGTGATATAAGGTGGCATTCTGATGGGGACAGCAAATGTAAAGGGGCACTCTGATAGAGACAGCTGATGTAAGGGAGCACTCTGATGGGGACAGTTGATATACGGGGGCACTCTGATGCGGACACTTGATAGAAGAGGGCACTCTGATGGGGACAGCTGATGCAAGGGGGAGCTCTGAAAGCTATAACTGATCATATGTATGGGGACACTTATGCAAGTAGGGGGCTCTATTAGGGACACTGATGTAAGGAGGCACTATGATGGGGACACTTAATGTAAAGGGGGACTCATGATGTAAAGAAAGATTCTGAGGAGTCCTGATGTAACAGAGCACTCTGATAGATCAACAGGTGTCTCCTCCTAGCACCTTCCCCCAATCTCTTCTCCTAGCACAAATCCCCCCCCCCCCCCAATCCACCCTCCTAGTACAAATTCCCCCTAATCCCCCCTCCAAACAGAAATGCTCCCCAAATCCTCCCTCCGAACACATATTCCCCTCATCCCCTCTCCTAACACAAATCCCACCCAATCCCCTCTTCTAGCACAAATTTCCCCCAATGCCCCTTCCTAGCACAAATACCCCCAATCGCCTCTTCTTCCCAGCACCAATACTCTTCCTTTAATCTCCCCACCTAGGACAAATTCCCCCAAATCCCCCCTATAGCTAAAACCCCTCCAAATTACCCTTCCTATCATAAAATCCTCCCACCTTACTCAACTACCCCTCCCTTTTAGCACAATTGATCGGGGTTCTACACCATTTGCATACCCCGTCTTTTATCTTCTCCAATGACTGCTAATCTCTCAGCAGCAGGGAATGAAAATGCTGATGTAAAAGCAATCCTGTGTCATCTGCTTTATGGAGGATCGCTCAACTGACAGCAGATGAGAGCACAGCCTGCACCTCTCGGCTCTCCCCTGTCATTTCAGCGGCCAGGCAGAACATCCATGGAAAGACCGACCTGCTGCAGGGGCACAACTGCTATCTGGGGGGGACATAGCCCATCCCAGCACCCCCCTAGATCTGGCCATGGCATAGAGTAGGTAAACCAGTGGCTGCACCCTAGGTGGCAATACACCCTAGGCGGCAATACACCCTAGGCAGCTGCCTAGTTTGCCTAGTGGTAGCACTGGCCCTGAGTGGAAGTCATTTTCAGTTTGTCACCCTGCCTTTTAGCCTATTCTATGCTCCCAGAGTATTGACACAGGTCATAGCACCTCTTCTTGCCCTTCTAAGAACTCAGGACATCGAAGTCATAGGTTATCTGGATTATCGTCTCCTAAAAGACTCTCCTCACTTCCAGCTGTCTGTAGATGTCCACAGGACAATACAGATGCTCCAGGCTTTTGGTTGGGTGAACAATTTTCAAAAATCTTCTCTGCAGCCTTCTTTGCCTGGAATTTTTGGGTCTGGTCCTGGACACATCCCAAGCTAAGGTTTTCCTTCCAGAGAACAAAATGTTCTCTCTTAGAGCTCACATTGGCAATAAAGGTCAAAGAGACATTGCACAATGAGATATTCCTTGAGCGTTCCAGGCCTCGTGGTAGCCTCCTTTGGTGGCGGTGGCATTTGTCCATTTTCATTTCAGTCTAGTACAATATTTTCTCAACCTGGAAGAAACATGCTCCTTCTCTCAACCTAACCATGCTCCCATCCAGCTTTTTTTTATGCAACATGTCTTATATGCATTTTTCGGTGCGTTACCATTGAACTCTTTTAGAATGCACGTTTTCATGAAAGATGCATGCTGCATATTTGATGCGCTTTCATCAAAACACATGTTCTACAGAGCTCAGTGGTAGCGTGTCTAATGCAAAATGCCAAAAATGCACAACGGAGATGTGAGCTGGGCCTAATTGGGACATCTGCCTAATAGTGTTGGGGTTGATGTTCGAGTCGAACATAAATTAGAATCGAACATTGGCCATTCATGTGTTTGGCGTAAACAAGAACGCTAAGGGCGTTCGGCTGGCTATTCACCCTCTACACCCCACAATGCACTGGGCCCTGAGAGTGCATTGGGATTGGCCAAAGCAATGCACCTGAACACAGGTCAGGTGCAATGCTTTGGCCAATCACTGCGCATGATGATGACACAAAAGAGGGGGGGAACCCGCCCCCTTGTGACATCATCACAGTATTTTAAGAACGGTCATCACGGTGCAGCTGTCAGACGGCGTTAGCCAGCATAGAAAGTGGAGCGTTTTTTTTTCTGGGTCGGCGGTGATTGATGTTAGATCTACTTTGGGGGATTTTTTTTAATTTTTGCTTTTAATAAAGGACTTGTCAAAGACTGTGTAGTGTCATTTTTTGTTGTCCCCATCAACATGGGGACATGGTGCTTTGGGCATGTGGTCTGGTATTGTGCAGGAGAGGGCGCTCACTCGTCCCCCCCTTTCCTGACCTGCCGGGACTGCATGCTTGGATAAGGGTCTAGTATGTATTTTGGGGGGGACCATGCCATTTTTTTTACAAAATTTTGGCAAGGGGGGTTCCCCTCAAAATCCATACCAGACCCGAAGGGACCCCACGCATTTTTTAAAAAAAATTTTAATTGCCGGCAATTCTTTTTAAATTCAGCTGTCAGCAGCGAACCCCGCTGTCAGCTGAAACATTAAAGAATGTTTTCACTACTAAAATACCGCATGTCTTCAACTTACAAGCCAACCTCAATGCACTGTTTAATTGGGCAACTATGTGGCAAATTAGTTTTAATGTTGATAAATGTAAGGTTATGCACTTGGGGGCTAAGAATATGCATGCATCATACATACTAGGGGGGGTACAACTGGAGGAATCAATGGTGAAGAAGGATCTGGGAGTTCTGGTAGATCACAAGCTTAATAATGGCATGCAATGCCAAGCTGCGGCTTCTAAAGTGAGCAAAATCCTCTCTTGTATTAAAAGAGGTATAGACTCCAGGGAGAGAGATATCATATTCCCCTGTACAAATCATTAATTAGACCTCATCTGGAATATGCAGTTCAGTTTTGGGCACCAATTCATAAAAAGAACATTGGGGAACTGGAGAAAGTACAGAGAAGGGCAACCAAACTGTTAAGAGGCATGGAGGAGCTCAGCTATGAGGAAAGATTACAGGAACTAAATGTATTCTATCTTGAAAAGAGGAGATTAAAGGGGGATATGATCAACATGTATAAATACATCAGTGATTCATATAGTGAACTTGGTGTAGAGCTATTCACCCTGAGGTCATCACAGTGGACAAGGGGGCACTCTTTCTGTCTGGAGGAAAAGAAATGTAATCTCCAAACACGGAAAGGTTTCTTCACAGTGAGAGCTGTGAAAATGTGGAATAGACTCCCTAAAGAGTTGGTTCCGGCCAGCTCAGTGGATTGCTTTAAAAAAGTCCTGGATTCTTTCTTAGATACACAGAGTATAACTGGATGCTAACATTTATAGGTAAAGTTGATCCAGGGAATATCTGATTGCCTCTCGGGGGATCAGGAAGGAATTTTTTCCCCTGCAGGAGCAAATTGGGTCATGCTTTGCTGGGGTTTTTTTTTGCCTTCCTCTGGATCAACTGTGGGTATAGGATTATAACTTTTTTTTTTTTATTGGTTGAGCTGGATGGACTTTTGTCTTTTTTCAGCCAGACTAACTATGTAACTGTTAGACTTTTTCCAGAGTTATGAGAAAACTCTATTAGTATTTCTAGGTTCTTGTAGATGGTTGTCCCCCCCCCCCCCCCCCCCCCCCCCCCCCCCCCACACAGGGAAGAAATCCTTATGGAAGCCAGTTCAGAATAAGCAATGTGACTTTATTTGATCACACACCAAAAAATACAAAGTCAATAAAAAACAGTAAATTCAGATATATGTAGCTTAAAATGAAATAAAAATAAAGAATATAAGTTGCTTGTTCCTTGAATATTAGAAGAAAATGTAGTTCCTTTGAATAGCTTAGATAGAAGTTTTTGGCCTAGCTTAAGAAATGACCATGTGCTTTCTTTGTCCTTTGTTCAAGCATGCCATGTGCTATTCTTTGTGTAAGTGTCTGAAGTGTAGGTATGTCTGAATGAAGTGAAGTGTATAGAAGGTAGGAAAAACTGACTCTCGTTCCTTGAAAAGCTACATACTTAAAATGCATGAGAAATTAAGTCCTCCCATTAACCTTTGTTTCAAATTCGCGGGCTCCTTAAACACTCCCCTAGTCACTCCCAGCCTAACTAAAACATGTGTTACTTATTCAAACCACCAAGTCATTATCATGATTGACATGCATACTGTGAAAGAGGTCTCTGAAGTTCTTATGTTACATACAACTGTCTGAATACGTGATTTATGAATACAATTTAAACTCTCAGACTCATTATAAGAATTCAAAATAAGGTATACGTTACATAGACTAGTAGTCTTAAAGAAAACATGAATTTAAACCTCTACTGATTCCTTTGCTCAGACACAAAATAATTCACATCTGTGACTACTCAAATTCAAAACCTCGCATTCACATCCAATTAAGAGGGTATTCTCTGCCAGGCATATATCAGAACTACTAAAGACCGAATTAAAGTTTAGATATTAAAAATTAATATTACATTCCCTCTGAAATATGAAATTCACATTAATTTATATCAAGCACACATCATTTATATCACAAACACTCAGGTTTTGATTTAGTAATTTCAAATGTATCATTATTTGTAACTGAGTCAGCAAAACCAGAAAGTATTTTTCTCTTAAGTATATTTTGTAATAGATTATCTCCTTTCCTAATTTCACTTCTAATTCGCTTATAGAAACTTCTCATTTTACACATCAAACATAATTGAAATATAATACATAATATGATAATAATAAAAATAATTATTACAGGATGTAATAAAATATTTCCTGCTGCAGATGCAATTGAAGTTTTTCCCAGCATTGATACAGTACGTTTAAATTTTAAC